GGAGGCCTGGCAGGTTTTGCCCAGGAGAGGGGCAAGGGAAGGGAGGATGCTCAGGGTGTGTTTGCTATCGCTTGTCTTTAAACTGTCTAAAAGCTGGGAATTACTCTTCAGCCTGGATGGAGTCTGAGGGCGCGACATAGTTACTGGGGATGTAGCCCGTCTGTCCTGTAGTGAGGGAATGAGCCAGCCACCAGTCACCTTCCCTGCAAGAGAACCAAAACACACTCAGTGTGAAGCCCAGAGACCCCAGCCAGCCCCTCTCCCACCCGCAGGCACCAGGGCGGGGGGTGAGCCAGCGCAGAGCCCCCCAGGAAGGGATGCAGCCCCCCAGCCCCGCAGCCAGACCCCAGCTCCAGCTGCCAGCCTCTGTCCATGGCTCCGTTTGGGGAAACTCTCGGTATTGGGGCTGCCCATCCGCACGTGGGATGCTTTAAACTTAAATCAGGGCAGCCAGTGAGCCAAAACAGCTTTGGAGCCACCTGAACACGAATGGGGCTGGCTGGAGGCTGGGGGGCTTTGGGGATCCCAGGCAGAGGGGAGTAACAGGCGAGGGGGAGGGAGGGGAAACGGGGAAAAGCAACAGAATGGTGGCAGTGGTTAAAAAAAGCACCTGGAAAACCCAAGAGACAGTGTTTGTTAAACACAGGCTGCAGAAAAGCAACAGGACAAAGTGAGGTTTGGGTGGGGGGTGAGATCTGTCCCACAGTGAAGCCTGGCCAGGATGCAGTGGGCTCCATCCAGCCTGGGGACACTCCACAGCCCTGGGACAGGCACCCTGCATGGCCGCAGACCTGACCATGAGCTAGCACGACCATGAGTGAGGCTGGCACAGAGCCAACCCCACAGCACAGCTCTGCCCTGCAGGACCCCCTGTGCTGTCCCCAAAACATGGGGTTGACCTGTCATCCCTCCTGCCCCAGGCACAGTGGCCCCAAGCACGTCCCCAGGAGCTGGCAGGGCGCGGGAGCCTTCTCGGTGCTCTGTCCTCCTGCACGGGACAGGGCAGGAAAGGACAATAAATAGAGAACAACAGGACGGTGGGAGGCAGCTTCCCCATCCCTGCAGAGAGCAGGACTGCCTCCCCCCCACCTGCATCTTCTCACCCATCAGAGACCAGTCACTGAATTTCTCCTGACCGGGAGGGAGAGGCGGCTATGGGAAAACTGCAGATCCGTGGGAACAGCACCACAAAGATGTGAGAACTTGGCAGGATGACCCCCACAAACACTTTACAGAAAAACCTTAATGACCTCCATCACCACTGCGAGACCCATCAGACCACGGCCAGTCCCATCCCTGACCCTGCTGACATCTGAACCTCCATCCCCACTCCAGACACACCAGCAACTTCTGACTTTCACTTGTCCCAGCTAAACCAGCGATGCTTCCAAGTGGCCAGGAGAAGCTGGACACAGCCCCCAGCTCCCCACGCGGGTGGCAGTGGGGCTGGGGAAAGCGGGGACCCTCTGGGCATCTCCTCCCACCCAGAGCTGGGCTCTGCTGCCCACCTGGAGCCTGGCCCCAGCCTCATAGCAGCCCCAGACAGTATTTTAGCTTAATCTCTTGGATTTGGCACATCTCATGGCAGGTAGCTTGGGCTCCCCAGCCGGAGCTGCTGCCCCAGTCACCTTTACTGGGATTTCTCCAAACGGGACAGGGGACTGGTTGGGCTCCTTTCCCACGGGCTCAGAGAAAACATCTGCTTGAGAAATGCCCTGCTTGTGACTTGTGGCTTTACTCCAGCTTGGTCTGCAAGGCTGCAAGCTGGGAATTCAGCAAAAACAAACTATTCCAAAAATGTCTCAGCAGGGGAAAAAAAAAATAATAATCATCATCATCAAAACAAAGCATTTCAACAATTCCCTGCACAATCTTACCCAAAATACCCCACTGCATCCCTGCTGGCTGCCAGCTGGCTGGGAGGAGACCTCCTCCTGCTGGAAACGGCACCACGAGTGCCTTTCTGCGCTGGGGTGGATGGATTTGAATGGATCACCGCAGCCAGCCTGGACTTTGCTGGGATGCAGGAGCAGGGAGATGAGCAACGTGGAGGCTTCTCCTCTCGCCCTGCACAGCCCCAGCCCTGACAGAGCAGCCGAAACCCACAGCTGCCCTGCGAAGCCACCGGTGGCCGGTTGTCCCCATGGCCGTGGGCACCCAGGACCTGCCAGCCCTTCCCAGTGACCCCAAGCACCATTCCCACAGCCCCAGGGCACCAACTGTGCCCTGCTGGGGAGCCAGAGGAAGGGGACATGGCACACCTGCCTCTTGCTGTCCCCAAAGCGCAGCAGCCCGAGCTGCTCCCCGAGCATCCGAGCATCTCTGGGCACTCAGTGAGAAGAGAGATTCACCCCCCCGAGCACAGCACAGGCTGCCCAGCTTTCTGCGCTGCCTCTCTCCATGGCTGAAGGATGCTGCAGACCATGTGTGCCAGGACAGACCACACGTTGGTTTAACACAAGATGATGTTTAGGAGCATCTTGCAGCTCATCGTGCTGCCCTGCACCATGCAGCAAGTGCTGGGTGTGCTGCCACGGGCAGGACGGAGAGCGAACGAGCGGGAGCCAGACCCCTAAGGAAGCGCTTGAGTCCCCTGAGCCACTCACAGAAAACAAAAATAAAATTTAAAAATGCAAAAATAAATACAGAAAAGGCCAGGAGGGAGCAGAGAGCCAACTGAAAAGGGGCTGCGGAGGGGTGCCAGGCATGGACAAGGACAGGGGGCCAGGTTCAGCGCTCCTCGGTGCAGACACAGAGCTGGATGGAGCAGTTCCCGGGCACGGGAAGGGGCTCCCCACCCTGCCCCAGTCACTCAGGGAGGAGAAACCCAACTGACCACACATCAGGCAAACATCTCTTCCCAGGCCCGCTCCACCCAACCTTGCCCTAAACTGGGCAGCGGAGGGGCTTTTATCATTTCAGATCATCAAGGATAACAGGAATAATCTGCAATACACACCTGACGTCCACTTTTCTCCTAAACGACAGCGTGGCACAGAGGAGAGAAAAAACAGTCAAGAGAGAAGCTGAGGTCAGAAGCGCTGTGCAAGCACAGGGGAAAGCACCCAGGAAGCTGAGGAGATGTGTCCAGGAAACGAGAGGGAGCCGAGCACTGACGGGGACATGGGACCGGTGGGGACATGGCCCCGCACTGGGGGGCAGGGACTGGCCAGCAGGCAGAGGAGGTGGCTTGGTGACAAGGCTGCAAGGCAACGGTGACCAGAAGCAGGGCTGGGAGGAGGTGGGAGCAGGCAAATGATCGCCTCCATCGCTGATGTCCTTGGACAAGCCACCATGTCCATGCACATTGTGGCACCACTGGTGATCATGCAGCGATCACCCGGAGTGTCCCTCCCAGAGCACCCATCCCCGGGGAGGGCTGGGCATGGGGAGCTCCGTGGGAGGGGTGGGGGTGGCAGGTCACTGCCGCGGGCTCAGCCGCAGGGACAGGGACACTCACGTGTTGTTGACGATTTGCAGGCGCTCTCCTTTCTTGAAGGACAAGTCGGTTTCAGTCCGGGACTCATAGTCATAGAGGGCCACGAAGGTGGTGACGCCACCTGTGACACAGACCGCTCAGGACAGGCACAGCCACCGGCGCTGCCACGGCGCTGGGCACCCTGCCAGGGATCCTCCTCTCCTCCCATCCTCCCATCCGGGCCGATAAAACACAGCTCTGCTCCCCTCCAGCTGAGAGACAGAGTCCCTCACCAGCAGGACATC